CCAAACGCACGCGTGCAATCGCACCAAGGTTTCACGGGCACGCGACAAAAAAGACGTGCAAACGTACCAGGGTTTCGAAAAGGACACGCGAACGCAGTATAGGGTTTCCAAACACACGAGTGCAAACGCACCAAGGTTTCACAGGCAAACGTACCAGGGTTTCGCAAAGAGAGGCCTTATCGAGGCCTCCTCCTCCCCCTCACTCCCCCTCCTCCTCCTCCTCCTCCTCATCCTCCTCCTTCTCGTCCTCCTCGTCGTCGTCGTCCTCCTCCTCCTCCGCCCATCCCCCCCTTCTCCTCATCCATCTCCTCCTCCTCCTCCTTCTTCTCCCCCTCCTCCTCCTCCTCCTCCTCCTCCTCCTCCTCCTTCTCCCCATAACATTTTTTGAGCCCTCGGGATCGTTGCATTCTTGTCCTGGTGCTCGCCGCGCTTTGAGCCTTCCCGCGAGCAAGCGTCAATATTGTCTCAAATCCTGACGCTCGAATTTTGCGTTTTTCCTCCTGGGGTATTCCCGCGAGCAAGCGTCAATATTGTCTCAAATCCTGACGCTCCAATGTTTCGTTGTTTTCCTCCTGGGGTATTCCCGCGAGCAAGCGTCAATATTGTCTCAAATCCTGACGCTCGATTTTTCCCTGTCAAAGCCCGCCCCAGCCTTGTTTTGGCACGCCGTTGCCGCTCTGCCAGAGGCCTGAAGGGAGATTGGAGGAGGAGGAGGAGGAGGAGGCGGAGGAGGAGGAGGAGGAGGAGGAGGAGGGGGAGGAACAGCAGGAGGAGGAGGCGGAGGTGGAGGAGGTGGCGTGGAGAGGTGAGTTCTTTTTTTCCGAAAGGCAACTCCGCGATGTCACGCGCCCTCCCAGGAGGAAGAGCCTGACTACATGACCATGACCAAGAAGGAGAAGCTCGACGCCCTCGTCAACACGTGGGGCAATGGCGGCGCGGCAGCTCAGGTGGCAAAGCGCGTGGAAGAGAAGGGCGACGACGAGAGCGCCCCTGTCAGGAAGCGCCCTGCCGCCAAGACTTCGGACTACGAGTCGAAAGGCTGGCGCGACCGTGGAAAGGACAGAGACTTCAAGAAGCTGAAATCGGCTGGCCAGATTCCAGACTTCGTTATGCACATGATCGACAACGCACCTGCTGGGCAGAAACGCTCAACCGAGACCGCCGTCATCAACGAGATTATCGACCGCAAGCCTGACGGGTCGATCTTCTTGAAGCTCGACAACCCCAGGTTCCATCAGGCCAGGAGCATGTACAAATCTTTTTGCGACAAGAAGAATCTCATGACGAAGCCGAAGCTCAAGGCGGAGGTCGAGTGGGGCGGCAAGGACAAGTTGAAGGAGGCGATCCAGGCATTCGGAACTGAAACTGCCATCCTCACTGACGGCCTTCGCTTTCGTTGGTTAGCGTAGGCTGCGCTTTCGGACCATCTAGAACTAGGGGGAGGAGGCGGTGGAGGAGGAGGAGGGAGAGGAGGAGGAAAAGCAGGAGGTGGACGAGGAGGACGGGGAGGATGGGGGAGGAGGAGGGAGATGAGGGGGGCGCGGGAGGAGGAGGAGGAGGATGGGGCGGGAGGAGGAGGCGGAGGAGGAGGAGGAGGAGGAGAAGGAGAGGGGGAGGAGAAGGAGGAGGAGGAGGAGGAGGAGGAGGAGAAGGAGGGGGAGGAGGACGAGGAGGACGAGGAGGAGGAGGAGGAGGAGGAGGACTGAGACCCCAAGATCTTTGGAGTGAGACTTCCAGTTGTCGCGATGCCATGGTAATTCCAAGGTAATTTCAATGAAATTACAGTTCGTCGCAATTCAGTTGTAATTCCAATGTAATTCCAATATAACTTCAATTCGATACTGGTCAGTTGTAATTCCAACGTAATTTCAATGAAATTACATTTCTAGAACGTTCGGTTGAAATTTCAACGTAATTTCAACGAAAATACACTTCGTTGTAGTTCGAATGTAATCCCGATGGGATTTCAATGAAATTGCCACGCATGCTACGATAATTGCGGTTGGCATGCCGATATCTAAATGTGCAGCCCACGCTTCCCGTCGAATGCACAAGACCGTCAAATGATGCGACGGTTGCTTCTCACAGGCGGGACAGGTTTGGGACAACGACGACGGAACCGTCTCTTGGCGCGAGGGCAAGATGACCAAGGCGCAGGGCGGTGGCGACTTTTGGGAGATTCGTGGTGCCACCAAGGGCTTGTCAATAGAAGCGTACGAGGGTGCCGCTGCGATCATGGACAGCTTGGGGTGGAAGCCCCAGGACATCGACAACAAGGCGCTCAAGGACGCGAAGGCGGGCGGCGTTGTGCCGCGCGAGGTCCACGAGATGCTCGACCATGCGATGATTGCCACGGACTCGCTGCTCAAGGAGACGAGGTCGCTGCTGCCCAAGCTCGACGCCGTGGGAGGCGCGAAGGCCGAGAACATTAAGAACACGCTGCTCGACAAGACAGAGGACGTTCGCGATCAGTATCGCTCGGTCGAGAAGATGAGCACCACCAAGAAGGCTGCGGACGGCTCCTCGTACACGGTGGAGGCGGTCGACCAGGCGTTGGCCAAGCTGGCCAAGACGGTCGACGCTTTGCTCGACCAGAACGAGATCGCCAAGGTGACGATCAAGCGCAAGTGAGCGCGTCTCTAAGCTCAGAGGAGAGGACGGGTGCCTTGAGCCAACTGGGCCACTGGAAGGTTGAGAAGGAGTGAGGGGGTGGAAAGATGAGGAGCAGGAGGAGGAGGAGGAGGAAGAGAAGGAGGAAGAGAAGGAGGAGAAGGAGGACGAGCTTGGAATGCTATGGAAACACAAGGCGATGTAGGAGGAGAAGGACTACGAGCATTGCGTCGACAGTCGGCGAAGGCGGCGACGACGAGCACGAAGGCGAACACGAGGACAAATGCGAATACGAAGACGTAGCGATGAGAAGGATGACGAATACGCACGCGGCACCCTCCCAAGATCCTCACCTTTTAGCCCCGCCGAGCGCCCTGCGCCGAGAGCTGGTGTCCGTCTTTTTCGGCTGCGTGGGCATTCAAGCCCGACGCCCAACGCCGACGCCCAACGCCGACGCCCAACGTCGACGCCCCGAGGCACAGCTCCCACGGCAAACAGCAGCAGCAGCAGCAGCAGCAGCCGCCGCCGCCGCCGCCGCCGCCGTCGCCGAGAAGGGAATCGTTTCCAATGAAATCGCCGCCACGCTGGATGCGCTTCGAAAATTCGCATGGGACGCCGCCTTGGGCCCTCCAGGGTGGCCCTGGCGCGTCGGCTCGACCCCTCCCCCTCGCCTCGCTGGGTGCCTTCAGGCCGTCGCCGCGCTGGACGAAGCTCGACAATTTCTTGCGACGGACGTCTGGGCCCCTCAAGGGGCCTTGTCGCGTCTGTTCGCCCTCTACAGCAAAAGTGTATGTATGCTACGATTCCCTCCTCGATGACGTGGTCGTCGTCGTCCTACCCAACCTCTTCCTCCTCTTCCTACTCATCTTCCTCCTCCCTCCTCCCTTCCCCTCTCTCCCCTCCTCCACCTCCTCCTCCTCCTCCTCCTCCTCCTCCTCCTCACTCCTCCTCCTCCTCCTCCACCTCCTCCTCCTCCTCCTCTTCCTCCTCCTCCTCACTCCTCCTCCTCCTCCCACCTTCTCACCATCCTCCTCCTCCTCCTTCTCCTCCTCCGCCTCCTCTTCTCCTCCTCTCAGAGGGATGCGAATGATTGGGCGCGTGCAGACCTCGTCACCTCCAGGCGGTAACGCCACGAAGAGCGCCACTAGGCGGTAGGGGAGAATCCTCCTCCTTCTCCTCCTTCCCCCCTCTCCTCCTTCCTCCTCCACCTCCTCCTCCTCCTCACCCTCCTCCTCCTCCTCCTCCTCCTCCTCCTCCTCCTCCCCCTCCTCCTCCTAGCTGTCTCTTGACAACACGTGATGGAGGGGCGATTTTCGGAGGTACTTCGAAGCCCTTTCTGCTCCGCCCGAGACGCATCGCAATGCAGAAGAAACGTTCGAATTCGTTGGTTGGAAAACGGCGCAAGAGAAAAACAATCCCAGGTGGAACTCTGTCGCCGCGCTGGATGTAGTACGGAATTGTGCTGGGTGACGCAAGCTCGGGCCCGTAAAGGGCCCTTAGTGCGTTAGCTCAGGCCCGTGGCGTATTCGTCCCCAACCTCATCGTCGCCATCGTTGTTGCCAGGGCCGTTGGCATTTAGAATTCGCCAGAGACGGATCATCGCAGGAAATTCTGAGAAACTGCATCGTACCGCAACGCAAAATTCTGATAATATTTATCAGAATAATTCTCAGAATTGTGCGCTCCCGAAGTTTATGAGAATTCAAGCAATTTATAAGAATTCTTAAAAACATATCATTCTAATTTTTTTACGGGAATTTGGTCTATGAGGCCAGTCAGCCGGTCAGCCGGTCAGGCGGTCAGTCGGTCAGTTGGTCAGCCAGTAAGTTTGCAAGTTGGTCAATTTGGCAGTCGGTCAGCTGGTCAACCGGTGAGCCAGTCAGCCAGTCAGCGAGCAGTTGGTCAGCCGGTCAGTCAGTCAGCCAGTCAGCCAGTCAGCTTGTCAGCCAGTCTGTCGGTCAGCCGTTGAGCCCGTCAGTTTGTCAGCTGCATGGCCCGTTGATCAGCCCGGCAGCTTGTCAATTGTGTGCCGGTCAACCGGTCAACCGGTCAACAGCTTAGCCGGTCAGCCGTTCAATTTGCAAAACTATTCCACCAACCCCCAGAATGGGAGCTCCACCAACGGCCCTAGCGGCGCATCCTGCATGCGCGCGCCCCGCCCATGTGGGTGCATCCTTCACACACTTCGTGGCCTCATAGGGAGCTCCACCGGAAGTCCCAGTGGCGCAGTCCGGATGCGTCCCACCGCCCATTTCGGGACACCCCTCACACGCGTCGTGGTCCCATAGGGAGCTCCACTGAAGGTCCCACCCGCTTCGGCACACACACACACACACCTCACACGTTGCGTGGCCCCACAGGGGAGCTCCAACGAAGGCGATATTCACAACGACGGCACTCATAACTACATATGGTGGGGTCCTTCATCTCACAGTTCGCCTCTTTTATGACTTCTCGGCAGCGGAAGTTCTTCAGCGTGTCAGTCGGTTTGTCACTCGCGCTTGCGCGTGTTAGGTGTCAGGCTGACGGACAGTGTTGTTGATTGTTCAGTAGCGCAGATTCAGCGTGCCGTTCGGTATGCTACTCGCGCCTGGGCGTGCCAGCTTGCTGGGCGGTCTTGCAGGTGTTGCGCAGGAGGACAGAAGGTGCATCATCTCTCCCTCTTCCCGCATATCGCCCCACAGTCTCGCTCCCTGTTCCGTCAGATCGCCTGGCATTATCGATTACTCGTATTTCATTATTTCCCACTCCCTGCGCTTCCGCCCCTCATCCTGCATGTTTTGTCTCCTCAGTCCACTCCCTTGTTCTCCTCCATCTGCCTCCTCGCCTCTTCCCTTCCAGGAAGTCCAAGGGGTGCGCCAATATCACTTTCACATGCTTTGATCTACTCCACGCCGTTTGGCATTCATTCTTTATGAGTCGTGGGATCCTCAACTTTTTTGTTTGATGAGTCCGCTATTTGGCGTGCTTGGAGAGGGGAGACCATAGAGGATCGATGGAGGCCCCAAGATTCAGGAGGGGAGAAAACACACAGACACAATTAATCGTCGATTCCCCACAAAATATGGGAGCATATGGGAAGTGGGGGGGGGAAGACAAAAACCCAGAACCTATGGGAAAACACAACATGTTTGTTTATGTGTGTGTATTTATTTGTGTGTCCCAGGGCCCCTTCAAGCTAGCTAGAACTTGAGCGCGCGCGAAGCGCGCGTGATGGTTCTAGTTTTTAAGTCAAAAACCTGCTCGCGCACTCTTGCGAATCGTTACGAGACGCATCGGCGTTTCAGCATTGCCACCAAGTGCGAGCGAGCGGGCCTCTCGCGCGCGCGTGCCGAAATATTCCTTCGAAGCGCATTTGCTGGGGGGGTGCACGATCCTCGTTAACGAATGCCATGCAGGCCATTCGCGCCCGTCGGCCGCGCGCGCATGTCGAAACCCTTCCCAAACTTATGGTGTTCCAACCTATTTAAGCCTTGCCCATCAGAAAGAATATCGATCATCCAGAAGGTACCAACACTGGAGGGTTTTCACAGGTCGGCCCCTGGGAGGCGATGCTTGTTCGGCACTTCGCCAGCGTGTCGCGCAGACACTGTTTCGGTATTCGGTATTTTTTGGGTGCTCGAAATTATTTCTTGGATGTGGCCCGTAAGTACGAAGGGAACAACACAATCCCAAGCCTTGCTCACCGGCGCATGGGCGCCATCATCGTCATCCGCCTGATCAGCATCGGCACCGTCAGTCGTCTTGCCCTCGTCATCGTCATCATCGTCACCAGCACCGCTGCTATTATCATCGTGCCTGCCGTTGTCGACGTTGGCATGATGCCGCGCCCGCCCGATTCACCGACTCGCACTGCAGTGCCCGTGCGTCAGCGCGGCCTGCGAGACGCACTGGGCAGTTGTTTGCGGTCAGTGCCACAGCGGCCGCGCCGCTCGCGCCAAACTCGCTGGCCCCCCTGTGCGCGAGTCTGGGCGCTCGTAGCACGGCCGCAGCGATGTGCGGGCGAGCGCCAAGCAGTCATCGCGATCGCCGCCACATCGGTTCTGCAGACCAGGTTGCGGGTGGGCGGGTGGAATTATTGCACGAGCAGTGGATTTGACAATTCACAGCGGACCACATTGATGACATTGATCGCACCACATACAATGCCCCGCGTTGATTGCGCAGCATCGATTGCCTAGAAGCACGGTATAGGGTCCACGCTGGCGAGCATACATCATTGTATGAATATGTGCTCGCACGTATGTGTAAACAACGCGGGGAAGCTACTGGGATCACCGCGGTGTTTGTGAACTAGTTGGGGTGCTTAACATGTGTTTGGGGTGTTTGGAACCAGGTTTGCTATCCAAGTTGGCCATGGTTAGCTATCTGCACTTAACGGATATATCTATCTGTATTTAGCGCATTTAGCACTAAGTTAGCCATCTGACTTAACCTGTTTAGCGCGGCTGGCTAACCACGTTGCAACTAGTTTCTGTCCTGGTTCGCTGACAGAAAAAGAGGGGGGGACAGAGAGAGGGAGAGAGCGAGAGAGGGAGAGGGAGAGGGAGAGAAAGAGGGAGAGTGCGAGAGAGAGGGGGGCAGGGAGAGAGGGAGAGAGAGAGAGAGGTGGAGGAGGGGCGAGGGATGGAATGGTAATGGTGATGTATATATATATACACATACGTATTTATATATATGGATATGTGTATATATATGTATATACAAATATACATAAATATATGAAATGATCTGAGCTGGTATGGTATGATATACTATGATATGCTATGATATGAGATGGTATGACATGGTATAGTATTGTGTATGTGCTGTTGTCAACTTAGTGTCAGTGATGCGGCCTCGGAAATCGTGCCTATGTACGTGTGCCCTTTTTTTAATGTTCAGTGCTCAGCTGCTCTGCCGTGGCGACCCGCAGTTTCGGGTGCGACGGGGCTCTCTGCCACTTTGTTGGTGGCAGTGCAAAAACAAATGCGCGCTCGGAGGCAGCCGCGACCTCGTCGCCACCGCGTCGACCTCCGAAGTGTTTGCTTTCGATGTGTTACTGATGTTGTGATTGTGTTCCTGATGTTTTTTGTGTGTGTGTTTTTTTGTTTCTGATGGTTTACCTCGCCATGTTTGGAGACCGTCGGGCGCCCTCGCGCCCGCGCGACCGCCAGTGAATGCAATCCGCGGCGATGCAAGCGCAGTAGTGCAAGCAACTTCGTCTCTAGCTGGGGGTTGGGGCTGCGGCAGAAAGTCATTCTGCGCTCGGCGCCGTCGGAGCCCCCCATGGGGAAGGGAGGGGTGGGGGGGAGGAGCAGGAGCGAGGAAGATAAGTAGGGATGGCAAGCAGCAAAGTCAACGGCGGCAAACAGACGGGCAGCACCAGCATGGTCACTGCGAGCAGGACGATGAGGGGGATCAGCAGGAGGGGGCGAAGGGGGGAGGGGGAGGGGAACGGGGGTGCGGGTGCGAATGGGATGTGGAGGGGGAGGGCGAGGAGAAGGAAAAAGACGAGGAGGAGGAGGAAGATGACGAGCGGGGGGGAGGGGAGATGGTGGAACAGGAAGAGGAGGAGAAGGAGGAGGAGGAGGAGGAGGAGGAGGAGGAGGGGTGGGGAGGGGGAGGAGGAGGAGGAGGAGGAGGAGGAGGAGGAGGAGGAGGAGGAGAAGGGGGACGTTGGTGATGAGGCGGAGGAGGATTTGGATGAGTATTTGGATGAGGGGGGAGGGGAGGGAGGAGGATGGCGAAGGGGAGGAGGTGGAGGAGGAGGAGGAGGAGGAGGAGGAGGAGGGGGTGGTGGGAGGACCTGATGCTGTTCGCATTGCTTGGCAAGTACAACCCCAGTATTCGACGCCAAACGTTTAAAGCTCGGGTGGAAACACCACGGTTCGCTCCCCGTCCTGCCTAACTACTGTTTTATTCGGACCTCACCCCCTCCCCCAGACACGCTGCATCCTCGTACCCTGCCCTCCCCCCTGCTCACACGAGGCGGTCTGCCCTGACCTTCAGCCTCGCTGGAAACACTACGTGCGTGACGCAGCCTGGCAAAACTGGCCAATAGATGCACGGCTCGATGATATCAGCCATTGCAATGAACTGCGGTCGATCCGCAGCCCTGCACTTCGAGGAGACATCACACGCAGCAAGCTCAGTCCAGAGTGAAACGCAAGAAAACATGCTCGGTTCAGCTGCACATGGCAATACACTTGACCGAAATAGATTGAGCCGTCGCCTGCCCTACAGGCTACGACGTCCCCGACTTCAACGACTCTGCAATTCACCTGTGCACACCGAGAAACGAGAATCTCGTCCCGCATTTCATCCACATTCAGGGTGGCTTTGATGGCAGTCATCAGTTTCCTCGACGGCTGCCTCGGCTCCAGCAGGCCAGGTGAAACAAATGGAACCCGTAAGTCGAACAGGTGCTGGACAACCACCTCTTCGGACAAGGCTCTGTCATACGCTGTCGTGTTGTGGTGCGGCTGCGCGAACCGTTTCAGCACTCTGTGTTTCCTCTCCATCAAAAGCGTGGAGAGAAGCACTGTTTTTTAAGCAGCTGCATCGGTAAATGCAGCGAGGCATGAAACTTAGGTTTCCAGAGGGCCGTGCCATATGCAACCTTGTGGAGAGTGAGATGGTTGACAATCGTCTCGCCCAGCTCGGCGGGCGACACAAGCCCGGTGTTGATAATTGAAAGGAAGCCCACGACTTGGCACAGACAGATGGCATTGGCCACCTCGGCAGCGCAATGGCCAGCTGGCCTCGCGATGTCAACTAAAAATTTTGCAAGCACTGGGAAGCAAGGCATCAGCTCAGAAGCGGTTCCCCCTGGACTGTTGTTTTTGTGTTTCCCGCACACGTCCTTGCCATGGCTGTAGCCCGCTGGCCAAGCCCAATGCTGCAAGTAGTCGTGGAACCGCTTGCCCCCAAGATTGTGCACGCCAAGGTTCGACATCAGAGCCCTGAGTTCAATCAGGGCGACCCCTTCAACGAAATATATGTGCATCCAGTCCCAGTTGACCACGTCGGCTGCCTGCACATCAAGGTCAAAATCTTGGAGGAGGGATGTTGGGACAAAGTTGAAGCCGAACTTAATCTGCAAATCTTTGAGCTGAGCCGAGTCTCCTGATACTTCCTTGAGCCTCCGTTGGATGCCCTTGATGCTCGCGTTAGTCTGAAGGACGAACTTCGAAACGTCTACCTCGTGAGAACTGACCAGGAACCCAGTGGTGTCCGATCTGAGGTATGATGACCAATGGTTGCACACATTTTGGCATAGGAAACACACCTTGTGACCGCCTATACCCTTACAGTGTAAACTGAACTTGTGCGCCCGCTCGTCCTGTATAATGATGTCGAGGCGCATGAATATGAGCCTCGGCATTCCACCACGAAACTTGAATGCAACACCGTCCCTTAAATCGTGCTGGACAGGTCGTCCGAAAAAGAAACGCAACACGTGCCTGAACACCTCACTGATCCCACCACGGAGCCGATCGCACTCGGTCGACCTCAAACAACATATCGTGAACCATGCTAATTCGTTGCTCAATGCTGGATATTTGAACTCCTTTATGCTCCAGTAAATTGTTTGCAGCTTTCGTTTATTCTTTTCTGCCAAAACATTGCCTGGCGTTATCTCATCTGAGTAAGTAATCAAAGACATAGTACCATTTGTCTCATCTAGAACACGAGTCAGAAACTCTTTGAAACATT